TTGGTTTTACATCAGTATTTTTCAAAGTGTGGTACAGGGGCTAGCTACATCTGAATCACCAGGTACTTATCAACAATGTGTTTTCCCTCTAAAGTTAGTGAATGGTTGCTGAAGGACAGCAGTTGGGCAACCCCTCATGAGATGGACATGCAGAATGGACTAAGGAACTATGTATCCTAGTCAGACATTTTGAGTAACATTATGAGAAATGAAAATGGGGTCACAGCATGCATTGTCAATGTGGTGATATCCTCAAGGAGACAAGAGAAAAGACTTGGATATTACAATGGCTCATGGTCCTTCAAAGGGTCACAGTGCATAAAACGTCTAAAAAGTTTCCTTAGGAGAGTGATAATAAAGATTGAGAAACAATGGATCAGACAGAACAGGTAATTGTACTTTTCACTTTACACCTTGTTTTCTATAAGTATGTGTCTATTTTTACATTTATTTAAAAAAATGATTCATGGCCAGGTAGCGTGGCTCATGCCTATAATCCTAGCACTTTGGGAGACCGCGGTGGGCAGATCACCTGAGGTTGGGAATTCAAGACCAGCCTGACCAACATGGCAAAACCCTGTCTAGACTAAAAATACAAAATTAGCCAGGTGTGGTGGTGCATGTCTATAATTCCAGTTACTGGGGAGGCTGAGGCAGGAGAGTTGCTTGAACCTGGAAGGCCAAGGTTGCAGTGAGCCAAGATTGCACCAATCCAGCCGGGGCAACAAAAGCAAAATTCCATCTCAAAAATAAATAAATAAATAAAATAAAAGTGATTCACATATATAATGGAAGTATTAGGTAATAGTGAAATTCTGACTAGGAGACATAGCTCCTTAGCCCAGGCTGTATGTCCATCTCATGGGGGGGGAGGGGTGAGGCTGCCCAACTGCTGTCCTTCAGCAACCATTCACTAATACTAGGAGAAAAATGCATCGTTGATAAGTATCTGGTGTTTCAGATGTAGCTGGCCCCTGTACCACACTTTGAAAAATACTGATGTAAAACCAAGTTTGCACTTGAAAACAAGGCAACCATTTAACTCCAAACAGCTTTCTACTGGCTGATCTCATATGCGTCCAAGATTCTCAATGATTCCGTTTTTCCAGACCGATATGGTCATTGTGATAGGCAATAGTTTCATACTGTTTTGTCAAATAATGCTCTAGTTACTTCCTGGCCTAGAAGCCAAGGGAATACTGGATGTATCTTTTAATTACTAACTTGCTGTAAGAATAAGATTGACTAGATTTCCATCTGAATCTTAAGTATCATCTCAATAATCTTAAGGAAAACAATACTAACTCTAAAGATAAAAGGAGATTTAAAATTGCTTTAAAGCCAATTACTTCCCCATAGAAAATCCATTTTAAATACCGTTAGCCCCAGAATTGCCCATTACTTCGGTGGTGGTGGTGGTGGTGGTGGTTGTTTTGGTCTTATGTTAGTATATCCTTATTATTAAAAGCCATCTCTCTTCAAAGTTTCATCCACTTGAAAGTGGCATGGCACTACTATACTGAACAGTTTAGCGGACATGTGTTGTATGTGTCTGCCCAGCCTGTGTCCTCCTGGTAGTGGCACCCCATTCTGTTTTGGACAACTACACCAATCTTTGCAAAGGCTGCCAATTAAAGTATCCTGCCCTCCCGTGGCCAAGGTATTTGAATACATGAGATTGGCCAAACTAGGCCAGTCAGATGCTCTTCCTGGAATTCACATGCCTAGCACCATCTCCAAACCAGGAACTCCTCACCAGCAAGGGCAAGGTCTTATTCAGCTCTATCTCTCTGATGCCTAGCACAGTGCCTGGCTATGAATATTCAATGCATGTGGGCTGAATGAATTACACAGAAAATCATGCACCTTAAACAAATGCTGAACTAAGTCTATCATTTTCCCACTGAATTCCGGAGGGGGGGCAAATTGTATGATGTTTTGAAAGGGAAATATCCACTTTAGTAGCTAGGAAATATGCCTCGGAAATAGTATCCAAAGTTGCCATTTCTCCGTGCATTAAATATGTCAATCAGTCCAATAAAATAAAGCCCCAAAAAAGACAAAAGGAGAATTACCTCATTACCTCAACATCTGCTTGAACATAAGCAATCACACACTGGCTAATTTTTTTTAAAGGAACATAATATAACTTTCTAGAAAGACATAATATAGCTAATTATACCATTCACTAGGAGGGAACATAAAATGTTTTGAAGTAATTCAGAAGTGGGTGTGATTTATAAGACATAGAGCTTAGGGAATGGTAAGTATAAATTAGAGATTGTTCATATTATGACAGACTCCGTCATTACATTTCACAACTTTTGTCAAAAGCAACCTTATTCACCACACCACTAAAGGCTTCACATTAGGGAAGGCTGCTGTCAGCTTTGTGGTTTAGATTAGACAGGAATCTTGTTTCTGAACATTCTCCTGGAGAATTGGTTCAAATTTTAGACTTAAAACTCACTAAGGCAGGGGAAATGAAGAGAAATTGTTTCATGGGTACAAACATACAGTTAGACACAAGGAATAAGTTTGAACACTTGACAGCAAAGTAGGGTGACTACAATTAACAAAGATGTAGTGTCTATTTCCAAAGAGCTAGAAGAGAGGACTTGAAATGTTCCCAACTCATAGAAATGATAAATACTGGAGGGTAATGGATACCCTAAATACCCTGACTTGATCATTATGCATTCCAAGCATGTAACAAAATATCCCATGTATTCTACAAATATGTACAAGTATCATGTATCAGTTTAAAAAAACTAAGGAAGGACCCATATGATGAAACCTAAGTGGCCAATGAGCACGTAAAAAGGTTTCAAATCTCACTAATAACCAGAGCAATGCAAATTTTAAAAGGTACCATTTTGCCCATTAGATTAGCAAAAATCAAAAACTTGTCAGGCTATCAAATTAATAAAGATGCTATTAGACAGTGTTGACCAGTGTAGGGGGAAATGGTTACTGCTGAAGGATATATTTGAACTGGTATAATCATTTTTGGGGGTACTTGTGTAATGTCTATCAAAACTATATGTCCATGCTCTCTAATCCAACAATTCCATTTCTAAGAATCTATCCTATAAAAAAGTAATTGTACATTTATTCATATGATTATTTGATTAGTAACTGTCTTCTCTTCTGGACAATTAATTTGGTAACAAGGACTGCCTAGTTCACAATTTACACCCCATATCACCTTTGATATGCACTTAATCAAGGAAATAGATAATCTAAAAATACCAAAGCCATGGATTTGTTTTCCAGTACAATGCAACAGGAGAAAGAACTAGAAATTTAGAAATTCTTTTTCTTGGGCCTCAAACCCAACACAGGAATGGAGAATGTGTTCTGAAATCAAATATAAACAATTTTCAGATTATCTACATTGTTAAGCTACCCTTGAATTACATACAAAATGAAAAGATAAATTTTTTATTATCATTATTTGAAAACTGACCATCCATAAGAAGATATGATACTCACTGACAGATATTACCTATAACAAAAGCTCCACAAATCTAGACTATGAATCAAGTTTTAATGTTATGGGTTGGGGGGAAGGTGTTATTAAATATAAAATACCAGTAGAATCCGGTCCCTCACTAAAATACCTGAGAAATTTCAGATAAAGGAATTCTGTCCACCCACTAAATTCACTGATGCTTGTGACTCTATGACCTCAGGCTAATCTAGGATGCCAGGTGAAGGTGCTGGGAAGGCCAAAGAGACTAACATTTATCCAGCACTTTCTAGATGCTGGATATTACAGAGGAATGTTATGTCCATTTCAGAGGTTAAATAATTTCCCCCAAAGTAACACGGTAAACAGTAATGTTGACATTTGTTTGCCAGTGTGGCTTCAGAGGAATCCAGGTTCACTTCCCAACGGTGTTTGTGGTTTTAAGGAAGAACAGGTAAGAGTACTGAAGAAGACCTCAGGAAGTTCTCCAGTTTCGCCCTCGCGTTTAGTCAGGTCAGCCTTGATGAACCAGAAGACAAGTTCACAGAGCTGATGAACTGGACCAAGAGAGTGAAAGAACTAGAACTAAACACCAGGTTTTGCCGCAGAGCGGCTTCCATTACACGGTCATGTCAGCAAGTCATTCAGAAAAGTACATGTTCCTACACAGTTTTGCTTCCTTTAAATCTGTATGGTTTCTCACTTTCTTGACCCACATTCGCAGACCACCCTTTGGTCAGGGTAATAATAATTGTTTCAATGTGTTAGGTTAACATTTGGTGGTTGATCTGGTTTGGTTCAGAAGTGTGGTAACTGATGAAAAAAAAAAAGATTGACTGAGGCAGCTTTTTATTAAAGAATAATTCCCAGTTACCAAGCAGTACAGAAATGTGTACGCATGGCCTGGCTCTCCCGCGCCCAGCGCCAACCCAGTTAATTCTGGACGCCCAACACTGGCAGCATGTTGACCTTGCTGACTAATAAACTGCTAAAATTGAGAAGTGATAAAAACAAAAATCATGGCCTGAAAATTCCAGCTGGGTAAGGAAAGAGGAACCAGACCGAACCCAAAGAAAGAGCTGGGAAGGGTGTGAAATAGTGCTACAGGCCACTCGGCGCCAACAAATGTGTAAGGGTGGGGCCAAGCTAGCTGAGCCGCCCAAAGCTGCCAAAATACCCTGCCCCACCCGCTTCTTCCACAAGGAGGGTGGCACTGTGCAACCTCGTCCCTGCTGAATCCTCGTCCCTTCCCCCAGGCCCCATCGCCAGCAAAACGCTACTGGCGGGCAGCGCGTCTCACGCTGCGGGGCCTGACTCGCCCGGACACTCCGCGTTATCCTCGGCCTGGGGCTTTCCCAGGCGCGCGGGCCACGGAGGACGCTTCTCCGCGCGTGACGAAGCTACCGCGTTGACCACTACGGCCGCCACGTCTCCCGCGCGGCTTCCACCTGCCCTGGCCCCAGCGCCCTGGAGCCGTCCCCGCCCACGGGCCGCGGCTGCCCACACCTGGCGCCCGCGTGCCGCCTACCTTGCTCCTTCAGACTGGTGATGAGCTGCAGCTGCTTCTCCTCATCCGAGCTGTTCATTTTGGCGGGTGGGGCCGGGAATAAAAGGGAAAGAGGGAGCGGCGAGGGGCACAAGGGAGGAGGGGGAAGAAAAAGCAAGATGCCGGTGGCGTGCGGCTCCACTACCCGGAAGTTGGATCCGCTCCCGCTCCTCCTCCTCCTGGCGCGGAGCGCGTGAGTGAGATCATCCCCACGCACCTACTCGGCGGCTGCGGCCGCTTCACCTGCGGGCGGGGCGGGGCGGGCCCGGCAGCCCTGGGCAGGGAGTGGAGAGGCGGGGGCGGGGCGGCAGCCGCGATCCCAGCCTGTGGCGGCTGGCGCCGCAGGACGCGCTGGTGGGAGGGCTGCGGCCCTGCGTGGGGTCGCCTCTGACTCGCTCCGCACCCGTTTCTCCGCCTCCACCCGCGGGCTCAAGGACGCACGTTCAAAGAAAACGGGCCGTGGGTTCGCAGCGTGTGTGGGAGCTCCACTTTGGACGCTGCCCGGGGGTCGCTCCCCACGAACCGCAGATGTGGACCCGGACGCAATGGGCTGTGGACGCCTAGGCTGCTTCTCCAATTCTCCTGCGGTGGACTCGAGGGCGGGATTGCAAAACCTAGCTGCCCGCAGGGACAGGCCCAGGGTCGTACACTTGGCACCTTGAAAAGCAGACAAGGACCGAAACAGGCCGCCCAGCTACTTAAATGACCATGCCGTGAGTGAAGGAGGGCCCTGGCTAGCTTTCCCCCATCGCACCAGGTTTGCCAGGTGGTCAGAACGCGGACCTTGCTGCACGTGGATGGTGGGGCCTGGAGGCCTCTTGCATATCATCTGGTTGGTGGCGGCATGACCTTCCCTTTAGAGAGGGTGCCACTGCGTTGAATGCCAAAGGTCACGCAGCCCCCGGGCAGCAGAGGCTGGCAGTTAAGCCAAGCATTTGTCCCACTTCACTGCCCTCTGAACTATGTGAACTCATGTCTGGGTTAGACCATGCCCAGCAGAGAAGTGGCAGGCCTGCATTGTTTCAAAGGCGCCTCTCCCCAACCCCTAGTTGCTGGCTAACCTTTGGTCAAGTCTCCTGCATCTTTGAACTTCATCTGAAGAATGAGAAGAATAGTGATACTTACTCTCCAGGAAGAGTTGTAAGGATTTAATAGAGAGAGGAAGATTAATAAAACACCAAGTCTGGAATTTATAATGCAGTAGTTTTGTTTTTTTAAGATTACGGGTCTGTGAGAAAAGGGCTGTGGTTGCTAACTATAAGCTGAAGGATGCAGTTCTTTTACACTCATCATTAAGCATAAGAAATAAGTCCAAACTGCATCAGACTTACCGCACAGCTTGGTTTTTCTCACTACCTTTAAGCTCTTAGTTTGGGTACACCATCAGCACCGTGCTGCTCGTTCCTCAACTGCTGTTTTATGGAAGTGCCCAGCTCCATTTATTGTGTTCGTTTCTTTCTCCCTGATAGTTATAGAGCGAGGTTGAGATATAGGTAAATCCTGTAACTAGTGTCTTTCTGATACTCATTACTACACGCTAACTCAAATTTTGAAAAAAACAAATGGTAGCACTGCTTTCTCTTTCTCTAAAATTGGCAATATAGTATGTTAGCACCGGCGGTTTAGGGGTAGAATGATTTAAAAGGGCAGCATAGTATTTTTTAATACAGTGAATTAAAATGTTTAAACTTTAAAAATAATTTTGATATGGGATTTTATTATTCAGCATTTTTCCTAGATTTGCATAATTCAAGATAGTTGCAGATAGCTGCCATGAAGATCCCCAGGAGATAATGAAAGGGTCTTTGCCCTAGTATTACATCTTAGTTCTCAGAATTGAAAGAAGGCCCAGGAAACTTGAGACGATTCATACTCAACTACATGAAAATATGAGTATGTGCTGCCACCAGGTATTTTATGGAAAGATAATTCCCTTCCAGAAAAAAAAAAAAAAAAGTCTGAGAGATTTGGGTGAAAAATAATGGATAGTTAGCTTTTGTCCCCCAGTCAGGAAACCTGTTAAACCTGACGAGTCATTCTGACTCATTCTCTCACACTCTACCAAATATAAGCAGAGTGCCCATTAAATATTTGGCTTAGTTCACAAATTCCATTTTATTTAAAAGGCTGATTTGTCTACTCCAATTATGTGGTAGTTAGATAGTATTTCTGGAATTTAAGAATGAGTTAATTATCAAATCTATAATCAAACTAAGTGTTTTGGTTCCACACTAAACCTGCAGCCTTTTGCAATGAATCCTACTTATCCTCCTTAAAACTAGAAAAGGCTCCTGAGCCGAGATCCTGCCACTGCACTGCAGCCTGAGTGACAGAGCAAGACTCCACCTCAAAAAAAAAAGGCTCCTGAAATACAATATTGAATTCACTTGAGGGCATGGTATGAATTATTAGGATGGCTATTAGAGTCCTTATTGGGATTCAGATCTCCCATTACACCATGGTTTATTTATATGATATGAATATTGATGGAAAGGATAGAAATTAGTTTTTGTTCTGTTTAATAATATGCATAGAGATTTATGTTGCAGGCATCACTTTGGAGTTATTATTGACCTCCAAATAACATGTCATTTAAAATCCTTAAAAATGTGTGTGTTTACACACACATACACACACACACACACACATATACAAGTATGTATGTAGAGAGAAATGAGAGACTTTTAAAAAATGAATTGGAAGGCTATGTACCAAACTCAGGATAATGGCTGCCTCTAGGAATAGAAAGTAGGGGAACAGGACCGAGGTGTGGGGGTTGGAGTGTGAAAGTACAGTGGTCAAGAAGGATTTTCTCTTTAATCTTTAATTTTTCAGATAATTAAAGTAAAATCATGTATGTCATCTTTTGAGGTGTACAGATAAATAAGACTGAAATACAATGGGGGAAAAAAGGTTCACTCTCTCTTATCCACTAATTCTATATTAGGGAATCTATACTAAAAGGCTTATGTACAGAGCTACTTAATGTTAATTATGATATGAAAATGGCAACACTGGAATATTATTTGGCAATAAAAAGAAAGTATTGATCTATGGTACAACACAGATGAAATTTGAAAACATTATACTCAGTGAAAAGTAGATAAGCAAAGCCCAGGTTATTATATGATTGCATTTGCATAAAATGATCACAACAGGCAAATCCATAGAGGCAGAAAGTTGATTAGTGAGTAACTACTGAGGCAGGGTGAAAGTAGGGGAGGGCTGGGAGAAAATAAGGAGTGGCTGCTGGTAGGTGAGTGGTTAATTGTTGGGGTAATAAAAATTTTCTAAAATAAACTGTAATGGTTGCACAATTCTCTGAATATACTCAAAACTATAGAATTATACATTTTAAGTGTACTCTTTAAATGGGAGGGTTTTATGGCATGTGAATTATAGCTCAATAAATCTGTTATTTTAAAAAACAGATTTTTAAGGGGAAGAAAATTTTTACCTTAATATACCACTTAGGTAAGTTTATTAAATACATAAATCTCTTCTACAAATATTCTTAATGTTCAAGTATTTGTATATGTGTTTGTTCTACTTTTTATTAACATTACTTCATTATGCTTTAGCTTATACCAGCCTAATCTGTATATTTATTCCATGTCATTCCTTTATATCAATGAATATACTTAGCCATTCTCAAATTCTTAGATATTTGAGTCATTACTAGAATTTGTATTTATAAATAATGTAACATTAATGCAAGGACCATGCAGAGGCATATCATAGTTGAGCTGCTAAAAACTAAAGATAATATTCAGGTCTTAGAAGCAGCCAAAGAAAAATACATATTACATACAGGAAAACAACAATAAAAGTGACAACAATCCAAGAGCAGTGGTTCATGTCTAATCCCAGTACTTTGGGAGGTCATGGTAGGAGGATTCCTTGACACTAGGAGTTCAGGACCAGCCTGGCAACAAAGCCTTGTCTCTACACACACAAAAAAATGTTTTTAATTAGCCAGGCATGGCGATACATGCCTGTAGTCCCAGCTACTCAGGAGGCTGAGGCAGGAGGATCACTTGAGTCCAGGAGTTAAAGGCGATAGTGAGTTATGATCGCTCCAGTGCCCTCCAGCCTAAGGGACAGAACAAGACCCTGTCTCTAAAAAAAAAAAAAAAAAGAAAGAAAAAGTGACAGCACACTTACTATTTATGCTGTAATCATTAAAAAAGTATATGTAGGCTGGGCACAGTGGCTCACGCCTGTAATTGCAGCACTTTGGGAGCCTGAGGCAGGCAGATCACCTGAAGTCAGGAGTTTAAGCCCAGCCTGACCAACATGAAGAAACCTCATCTCTACTAAAAATACAAAATTAGCCAGGAATGGTAGCACATGCCTGTAATCCCAGCTGCTCTGGAGGTTGAGGCAGAAGAATTGCTTGAACCTGGGAGGCAGAGGTTTCGGTGAGCCAAGATCATGCCACTGCACTCCAGCCTAGGCAACAAGAGCGAAACTCCGTCTCAAAAAAAAAAAAAATTGTAAAAAAGTTTACACTCAACAATGTAAAATTCACAACATCCAGCATCCAAACAAAAATTACAGTAAAAAAGCAGAAAAATATGACCCATAATAAGGAGAAAAATCAGCCAATAGAAACAGATGCAGAAATGACAGAGACGATGGAATTAGCAGACAAGGACCTTATAAGCACTATTATAAGTCTTAGAAAGATGAATGACCAAAGGTGTGTCAAAGATATAAAGGGAAACATGAACCTGATAAGGAGAAAAATAGGAGTTACAAAAAAGGACTTGAGTAACTATAGAAGATAACAAATACAACGTCAGAAGTGAAAACACACACAATAGATAGGATTTACAGCAATTTAGACAATGCTGAAGAAAAGGTTAAATAGCAACAGAAACCAAAATGAAACACAGGCAAAACATTTTTTTAAAAAACTAAGAATCACACCTGTAAGATAATATGAGCCAATTTAACACACAAGAAATTGATGGCTCAAAAAAGGGTACATTTTTTAAAGTGATTAAAAATAACTAAAAGGATCCCAGATTTGATAAAAGATCAATTTAAAGATTCAGGAAATTCAGTGATGCAGGACAGTTCTTTAGTTGGCCTTGGATCAACCCAGTTTCCCGTACTTTCTCACTTATAGTTCTCAGGAATAACTATAGCATTTGCTGGGAATACAACATCTTGAGATAGGGGAGGGACTGGCCAGAACAGCCTGGGCTCTGTTCCTTTCTTCCCTTGAAACAAGATGTCTTTCAGCATCCTATATTAGCCCTGAGGTATGTAACACAGGACAGCCTGCCTTTTGGATTCCCTCAGCTGCAGTGCAAGTGGGACACACACAGTCAGGACACTGTCCACCCCAGGTGGCTTCCCTGAGACTTGGAGGACTGGCTAACAATAAATTCTAGTCTTCTGTTGTCCCTTGCTGCTTATCTATCATTAATAAACTTGCATCATATAACTTGTGCATGGGTGTTTTATCTCCATATACTCAGATGAGTTGGTAAGTAGTGCATGTGAACCTGCTTCACAAGTGACCTGTCTCATACAAGGGTCTTCCATAAAATTAAGTAATTTTTCAGCAGAAACC